AATAATAATGATAATAATAATAATGAAGAAGAAGAAGAAGAAGAAGAAGAAGAAGAAGAAGAAGAAGAAGAAGAAGAAGAAGAAGAAGAAGAAGATTTTTTCTTTAGAAATCATGAAGTTATAGGGAGGTTTGAATGGGAAGCAGGCTGTATAATTGGGAATGTAGTTGCAAAGTGAAATAAGTTAAGATCAACAATAGTCTGAATGGGTCTTGAAAAATGGTCCATGTGTGCATGTGTGAATAAACACAAATCAGTATGAAAAACATAATTCTTTAACCTTCCATATATTGTTGGATTACAATTCCCATCAACTTTAGTCACCATGGCTAAATGTGACGAAGGCTGGGAGCTGTAGTATTTCAACATCAAGATAAGTCACAGGGGTCCCATTCTTGAGGCAGGTAGAATAGCATTCTATATTTTTATGCTGATCCTAATATTTTCTTGAGTTATTATTCTCTCTTAATGATTTCACTCTTCATTTTATGTTATGTACTTTTAAAATTTAAATTTAATTTAAATTAACATTTTACTTGCCCTGAGTGCCACATTTTGGGGCATGAGCAGACTATAAACAAATAAATGTGTGTACTTTTCCTTTTCCAAAATGTTAACATCTCTAGTTAAATATTCTGAATATGGTTAAAGTTGCCCTCTCTTCCTGCTCTCCAGAAAGCACTGTTTGGAGAAAGCTATGAAAAGATTGTTCACATCCTCCCTGAAAATAAACAGTTAGCCTTTCAGTGCTTCAGTATGGATTCTCCTCTTCCTCTTTTGACAAATAGTTTGCAGGAATTAAATGCATTACAAAAACACACCCGGTCTTCAGAACAATCATCATTATGTAGCAAATCGTTCAATGTAGTTTTCTTTGGAGAGACTGTTGAATAATGAGCCAAATAGTTGTGATGTCTACGCTCCCTAGTCAATTGCTTTAGGAACAGAACATGCCTTTTTGATTGCAAGACATGATACTTCATAGCATCATCTGTGCAAAACAAAAGAGGAATGAGTGTTACCTGCCTACCTCAGTGAAAAGATCTTGTGGCACTAAGCAGCTCCATTAATATGTTGATTTAGAAAACAAGTAATTAAAGCTAGTTATTCCCTTCTTTTTTTTTTTTTAAAACCCCTCATTTCCCACATAATTGTTTCTCATACAGGCGGATGTTTCCAGTTTTAAAGATCAGCGTTTCAGGGTTGGATCCAAATGCCATGTATTCTTTTCTGCTGGATTTTGCTCCAACTGACAGCCATCGCTGGAAGTATGTGAATGGAGAATGGGTTCCTGCTGGAAAGCCAGAGCCATCGAACCACAGCTGTGTCTATATCCATCCGGACTCACCCAACTTTGGAGCACACTGGATGAAGGCCACAGTATCTTTTAGCAAAGTGAAACTTACCAATAAGCTGAATGGCAATGGGCAGGTATGGCACCATGTTTTCTGTAAGCCTCTTGGCTTCAGTCATTGCCTTCTACCAATCAAGAATGATCAAGGGTGCATTTATGCAATTAGAAGGGCCCTTAGAGGCCTCTTCACCCACAGATGCCAATTATTCCATGGAGTCCAAATGTAAACAGGAATAAACAGGCTTTAATTGGAGCTTTCAGATTTTAATGGACTCCTTGATGTCAAGAGAGACAGAGTGTGCTGTGGTTTAACCATCAGGGATTTTTACCTCCATAGTGTGCCTTGTATGCTGAGTTTTTACATAGGGCTTCAGAGAAGGGGGAAAATGATTGGGGGTATTGAGGTTTTGTTTTCTCTCCTATGCCGTTTGGTGCATAAGTGGGATGTTGGCAATAGTCAGGTACTCAAATAAAAGGCTTCGTCTAAATGAAATAATTACTGTGCTTGCTTTTGCCTCATGATAATTATCAATATTCTATTGAATCATCCTTGGCCTTTGGAATAATAATACAAAGTATGTACCTGTACGAGAAAATAAGTGGCATTCTCTCCCAAGGCCCTTAAAAATGCAAAGAGGAAAGTTGGCTTTGTTGGCTTGTTTGTTTAATATGCATCTAGGTCTACAGTGATGAACATTTTCTTTGATTTATTTTGGAACACAGAAATAAATCTGAAAGCAAATCCATTAGCAAGCAAAGAATGAACTTCCAGCTTTGCATATGATTTACATCTATTCTGGCTTGTTTGTGGCCATTTCTATACTTGTCTGGGGTCTTCCAGAATTTACATGAAGAAGAAAACTGGGAAAACATGGACAGTAGGAACTTTGGTTTTTATATGCAGCAATTGTTTAATACAGATTTTCAGAGAAAGATGCTGCAGCACAAAGAAAAAAAAAAGCATTCAGATAGCTCCTAGATTTCTGTTTCTTTCCCAGACTGGAAAACTGTATTTTTTCCATAAAAACAATATGTATCTTTCCTATGTTTTAAGGTCCTTTCTGTTCAGAACATTCAAGAGACCTCTAATTATTGCTTAACTATTAGTTCACATTGTAGAAACATCTTCAACCACCCACCTGAGTTGTTAACATGTAAGGTACCCAGCAAAGGAATAGGGAGTCATTGTGACCATAATACGTCCATTTTTTCAGTTCATATGCATACTGTTTCTGCTTTCGGAAGCCTAAAAATCTCTACAGGAACTGAACTATCTTTTTGTACTGACCAGATTCATGATCTGAAAAAAAGAAGCTATTAAATCTCATTGCTTCATGAATGACTAAATTCAATGAAATTAATGAAATGCAAGATCTCATTGTTTTAATGATGCATTCAAATGGAGGGACAGTTACTCTACCATTCAAAAGGCACCTGCTATTCTTCTTTTCTTTCTTAACAGGTTTTCTCTAGGGACAAAAAAGGGTGGAAGAAGTGGCTTGAAAAGGCAGGAGAATTACAACTGAAGGATGTTGATCTCTGAAGCCTTCATAAAATCCTGAGAATAAGACAGGGCGATCATGCATTAAAACCCTAATCTGAAAACTTCCTTATTGGTCATAGACCATCTCTAGTCAACCTGGTTTCCATCTCTCAACCCTTCTAATTCTAATATAAAATGTACAGTATTCAAACCTGACTCAGGCTACTGTTACTGTTTGCAGATCTATTCTCTGTCTTCCCTTCCTTGCAGCTGTTTGTGCACATACAGTAGTCTAGGTGAAGTGAAAAGAGATGAAACTGATCATTTTTCATTATCAATAAACCAATTATTAGCTACTTAGTTTCCCTCTCCCCCCTTTTTGAGGATGGTGCTGATGCAGAAGGAATGCTTGTCAACTCCATAAATAGCAACAAGACTCAAAATGGAAGTTCCCCAATCTTGGAAACAGTGGGGGTATATTGAGATTTTGTGTAACTGCAACACCTGGGTCACAAAGTCATTTGATCACCAAGGGTCTCATCTTGCATTAAAGCCAGGACTTCACCTTAGTGTAGTAACTTCCATATGCCACCAGTTTTTGTAGAATACAATGTATTATCTCTTTGATTAATTTCTCTCCCTTTTTCTCATCCTAGATTATGTTGAATTCCCTACATAAATATGAGCCTCAAGTTCATATTGTTCGAGTAGGAGGCCCACACAGGATGGTAATGAATTGTTCTTTTCCTGAAACTCAATTTATTGCTGTGACTGCCTACCAGAATGAAGAGGTAAGTGGCTATCATATAAAAGCAATTTGTCTATTAGTTGTGGGAATCACTTTAAAGCCTCCAGCTGAGCATAGGTAAACTTGTGATCCACTTCCCTCCTTTAAGGCAAATAACTTATTTCATCAGCATGGATGTGTATCTTGCATGCCTGCTATTCAATAGCCATGGAAAAGGCATTCATAGGACACCAGAAGTAGTTGTGCTGGATCAAAAAGTCATTTTCTTCCTGCTGCAAAGTCAGTGTTTCTGGTTAAGAAAGAGCAATTGGCTAGGCCAATCTAGTTCAATATTATGTTGCCACAGTAGATAGTTGGATGCCCATAGCAAGCTAGCAAGCGGAACGTGTGCAATAACCTCCACCAAGTGGTGTTCCTCAGTATGTTGCTTCTGATAGTGGACGGCAATATAAAATCATTATGATTAATAGGGATTGATAGCCTTTTCCTCCATCAGTTTGTTTAATATTCTTTTAAAGCTGTCCAAATTAATGTTCACATCTGATAACAGTAAATTCTACTGTTCAACTATGAACCGTTTTAAATCTTTCTTTTAGGTTCCATGAAAGATAGAAAAATGTCTTCCTGTCCACACCATACATGGTTTAATAAATCGCAGAGATGTATTAAATTACACATGGTGTGAAGAAAACTTTCTATCTTTCACATTTTGTGCCTTGCCTTTGTGTAACTTCATGGTGTAATATATTTGAATGTGAATTGTCTGTGGCTAAGTTAAAACCTTATTGAACCTTATGTGGGAAAATGATCAATGGTCACCTTCAAGAGACTTTTTAACAGAATCCTTCTTCTTTTTTTGGAACTCAAGATAACAGCTCTCAAAATCAAATACAACCCTTTTGCCAAGGCATTTCTGGATGCAAAAGAAAGGTAAGCTCAGTTCTTCATCAAATGTTTGAAACTTGTTGGTGATATAGGGATACCAGCTAGGCTACTGTTCTTCATTCTTAGCTTCATAATCTGCATTAGTAGTATAATAAACACTAATGTAATATGCACTGTGACTAGGGATCATAATGATTCTTTGAGGGAGTTTAATTCCAAGGAGTTTAAGACAGCTTTGTGAAGTTGATTAGACTGAAAAATAGTAAATAGCCCACAGTCCATGAACTTCATGACTGAATAAAGAAAGATCAGTGTAAGAAGAAGTTTATCAGAATCAATGTAATTTTAATCTCATTATCCCTCAGAAACCACTCCAAGGATGCTCCAGATATTGTCTCTGAAAGTCAGCACATGACATATTCTCACTGTAAGTTTTATAATATGATTTGATTGTTCTAAATTGATAATATAAGGTTACCAGTGACCATCTACTGCAACATCTGTCAGTAGTCAGTACTGGATGGTTCACAGATTAAAAAGTATAATGGCAGTAGTAGGAAACAAAAGTATGTTTTTCCCCCCCATTTCCAGCAGCTGTGATTAGGGTTTTACTCTGATGGCCTTATTACCACTTGTTTTCTCCCCATTGGCATAGTATTCTGGGTATCATCTTATTTCACAGGGAGGGCAAATTTTAGAACTAGTAGGCATGTTATTATGAATATTCTTACAACATTACTGCCATGATGACCTTGCCTGTGTCCAAAGTGCTGCCATGATGATCATGGCCAACAGTAAAACACCTATTTAGAGAAGACAAATGCCTCATTGCTTCTCCTTTTATGTCCTTCTTTTATGTCTTCTCCCACATCACCTCATATTTATCTTTTTTTCTGGGCAAGTTAGGCTTAACGCATTGGATTACACCACCCCATCATTTTTATTTTTAGGAATTGTGACTGTTTAAAGTCGCTGACCAAAGCATCTAGTTGGTGTTTGTCTGCTCAGTATTTGGCTAGATACCACCAGTTTCCAGTTATGAAGTGACTAGGCACACAAATCTCTATGGGAAACCCTTGTTCTTCTTTAAAATGCCTTTTGAAGTATTATACGTGTGCAGTATAGATGCTTAATTACTATATAAAAAGAAAGCAGTTGTAATTGTCAATATTGACTTTTACTCAAAGATAATTACAAAATTTACACCAGTTCAGTACCAATAATGCAGTTACAGGGAATACTGTATAGCAATAACAAGTATTTCTGAAAAGCAGAAATGTTCAATTTCTGTTATACAAAGTTCAATTATTCTTACTCACTGTTAAAAGGTAAGGTTTCCTTTGAATCTAACTCAACTTCTGATAACTTTGTGATCGGTCCATGCAGTTTTCTTGGCAATACTATGAGAGTAATGTATCATTGTCTGATATAGCTCTAGTATTTCTTGGTAGTTTCCCATTCAAGCCTCACCCTTTTGGGCCTAAATGAGGTCTTCCAGATGCTGTCACCTGTTAAGATACTGTACTCTCTTTTACACACTGAGTAATATAGAAGTGGTTATGGGTCAGTTTTTCTACTAAAAAAAAGTGAGCATTCTTTGTATACATAGAAATAGCATTACTGTATATCAACTTTCAGTGCCCTTCCAAGGGATTGCTGATTTAATGTGCAGCATTAATCTAATTTAATTAATTAAATTAATTTAGGACTCAATCATTTAAATGATCCTGATAGTGATGTAATACACTCCTGGAAGGGTCATCCTTGCTAGTAAAATCAAAAGGAGAGAGGTGAAGCAAAGATTGACTCACAACAGGTATAGGGCTCTGTAGGGATAAGGAAAGCCAACCCACCTAGAAGAATTTCCAAACTCCAACCCAGGAGAAGGCAAATGGCAAACAACTTCAGCATCGTTACCAATAAAACTATGGACATGGCTGAAACTTTTGGACAAGTCTGAGTACTAGATAACACACAAGGTCAGAGGCACTCCTTTAGTTACTGGGGGAAGAACATTTAATTCTTAATTTTTATGAATAGATTATGAAGTGATAAAATAGACAGACCAAAGTCTCAAGGAAGCTTGGTCACTGATGCTGCCAGTGTTGGAAAATAAATTCCTTATTTTACACGGATGTATACAATTGGAATATGGAATGCAAGAAGTTTGAACTAAGGAAAACTTGAAATTGTCAAAGTGGAAATGAAGCATTCTAAATTGGATCTTTAGAAGTAAGTGAATGTAGGTGAACTGGGATGGGCCATTTTAATACAGATATTATATGATATATTTTTCAGGGCATGGCACTATACCAAGGAATGGAGAGACAATGATACTCAAAAGAGATTTGGCTAAATATGTGCTTGATTATAAATTAATAAATATTTGTTAGAATTAATGGATATCCAGTAAACATCAAAGTCATACTGTATAAGTATATGCCCCTACTTGTCAGCCTTGTGAGGTAGTCCAGACAAGAACAACACCCAGGAGTACTAGCTCTACCTTTATGGTAAGGTTACATTAACAGAACCTTGCAAGTCTGAAAGTACCCATCCTGTCCCTCATTTTTACTCTCCCAAAAATTAGGGAGGGTCCCTTCTGAGATGCTTTTGCCACCCCTCCTCCTCTGGGCTCAAATTTTGTTTATCAGTCCATTGTCTAGGCTGTGGCTCTTCCTCCTGTCTCCCAAGGTCACTCCCACATACCATTACACTACTACAGATGCAGTAGTGGAAGTCCTTACAGAATTCTATGGTGAATTGCAAATAATACAAACTCTATAAAGGACATAGTAGTTTTTTTAGTGCAGTCCATGACCAGAAAATGAAAACAAAACAAAAAACCTGCATAACCCCATCCCCCAATCAATTTATAACACTTGATTTGTAATCTGGATTGAGTAAAATTACCAAGTTTCACCATATATTTTCTCATAAAACACAAGCTGTAAAACAGAATATGACAATGTTAGAGGTAACATAACCATTATGTTCTGCAATTAGAAATGAGATATTTGTCTAATTTGCCAAGGAATCTACTTAAAATTGGAGTGAAATTTAAGTGATAAATTTAATGGCAAAATTAGCAATATATCAGTCATGACCCCAGTTTCAACTGCTCCCAAATGACAGGTACAAAGCCTCTTTGCAAAGAGAATGTATTGATATCTTCCTGAAGGCAGTGTGTTAAAATGAGCAAAGATGAAACCTCTATGATATTTTGCAAAATCAAGGTGATACAGATATTTAGCCAGCGTGAAAGCGTTGCTTAGGTTTCATTTCTCAAAACACAAGGAGCTGTTAATATTATCTCTCTGTGAGTTGATGTCCATTACATACTCTCTTACAACCTCTTTAGCTCTGGAGAAACCCAAAGACTGCAGGGCTGATATAGATAGCTTTCAAGTGCTTAATTGAGTTGCTTCCCAGAGGTCCTTGTAAATCCAGGCCTGTACACTATATATCACATTGGTAATTGCCTTATTAGAAAAAAACCCCCTAATTACAAAAGGAATATGTAACCCCCCCCCCGACATAGTACGACTAATGAGTGTCTGGAATGCAGATATTGGAGAAATGGAATTACATGAAGACTGGGACTGTGTAAACACAATACAGTACTGGAAATAGGTTAAAAGGGTTTCGCAAAGAGAATGTGTTGATTGTTAACACCTGCTTCAAGCAACATAAACACAAACTCTATACCTGGACATGACTGGATAAACAACACTGGAATCAAACTGACCACATAATAGAAAACAGACATGGGAAAAGAGCAAACTAATCAGCCCGAACACTTCCAGATGCAGATTTTGGAACTTTCTGTGGATTATTGGTGTCAAATAGATGGGTTTAATTTTAAGAGAATAGGTGTGCCAACAAAATGTGACCTGGAGGACATGCAGCCAGAATATAAGATCAATGTAAGGAAGAGATTCAGTATATTTAAAATGTATGTGGAGGCAAACCTGAAAGAGAACCTGAAAGTATGGGAACAGATAAGAGACATTATGGGGGAAAAAATTCAAACAGGAAATACTAAGGAAGGACAGAAACATTTGTAGAGACAATATATTCAGGGACTCATTCCACTAGAAATAACAAAGACATTATTGTGCAAGTGTGATATACACCACCAAGCCAGGAAGACTATCTGGATAATTTCCTCCTGGACCTGATTAAAGAACTCTCAAGGAGGAGAGATATAGTAATAATGGGACATCTCAACTACATAGACATCTGTTGGAGAACTAGCTTAGCCAAATATTTCACAGTAATTCCTTAGCAATCTTTCATTTTCCAGAAGGTTGAAGACAAGGAGATTGACTGCACCTTGCCTAAACTGAATCTAAGTATGGTTTCTGTAATCCTCAAAATTGTTGGTGTCTGGGTGCATTTAAAATTAATTGTTAAATTGTGTCTGACTTATTTGTATCAAAATGCTTGTGGCAACCCAGGAACATTATTGGAAATAATGGTGATGCTATTTAATTTTGTGTAAATTTAAATAATCTTAAAAATGGTCAGGCAGGGAGTCTGGTAGGCACCAAGGATACCTCTGCAGGCATAATAGTACCTAAAGAGACTACATTATCCTCCCCAATCTATTTCCTGGTATTATAAATTAGACTATGTCTTCGTGTGGATAACATACTGTGCTTATCAATGGCATCTATCTATGTTCAGAAACAAATCAGATTTAGAAAGAAAATATATTTGTCTAAATCTGAATCCTTACATAGGTTAAGGATTTCCCCATCATGGAGAAGAATCTGTCCATGTGATCACTGAGTTGACATCAAGCTGATGTCACATAACCATACAATAATCAACAAAGGTTACATAGAAGGAGATTGTTTTAGTTTAGTCCTCCAGTTGGAGCCCCTGTTTTAGTTTAGAACTAAATGGAACTAGATTGAAAGAACCCCTTTGAGAAAGTTGTGTGAGACGACCTTTCATCATGAAATATAATTTTTTTTGTCTAAGAGGAGCATCAAACCAACCCTTCCTTTTCTTTCCTTCTCATGAAGTGCAATTAAATGCATACATGAAGTGCAATTAATCCATTTTAATCCTAGTGTAAAGTTGACCTGGCTGCTATTGACATTCCAGCAGTTAGTAGTTGCTCAAAAGCTGACTTTCTTTTCCTTTCATTGAATTTGATAGTGATGACAGTTCTTATGAAAAAATTGACAGTTCTTCCTGAAAGAATTGAGTTATATGATTATTGCATAATAAATCATTCATAGTTGATGAGATGTTCTTTTTAAAAAATATGTTTTACATTAAAAAAGAAAAAAGCTCAAAACGTACATCTTTCACATACTAATCAAAGCTAATTTTACATACTGCATACCATGTTACACAATTAAATTAACATTTAAATTAGCCTATTTAGCAGTAGGAAAAAAAAGGGAAATTAAACATATACATTATGGATTCCAACTGTCTAATAGTCCTCCAGTTGGAGCCCCTGATTCTAAAATGCTTGGTCAACATATAGAAAGAGAGTTGAAATACATAACTGTACTGCTGACAGAGAATGGATACCCTTCCAGCCTTCTAGTATCAATGTTTTTGCTATCGTAGAAGTCCATTTCCTTCTGCTAAAGTCCAAGTTGTTGGTATGTTACACAGTGGAATGAGAAGGTCTACAAAACCACTGAGTCTTCCAGAATATAATTAACTTGTGAAAAAACTTCTCTACAGAAGGGAGCCACATCATATGAATCAAAATAGCATTTTGAACACCATATCTACATCTAATTAACTGAACCACCAACAGTAATTTTACTGATAATAAAAATGTGACATTTACTTTAGAACTTCTAATTTACAGTAGTCGAGCAACCATTTATAAATAATTATTATGTGGTTATTGTAAAAAACATGTTAAACCCTCAAGTACTTGAGGGGAATGTAAAATACTGGCAGCTGTGCCTGAGGCGGGGGGGGGGGTTCTCCTTGCTAATTTTGATAATTCAATAGCTACCAAAGGCACCAGTTCTCATTTAGGTTTGTTAATAATATACTCAGAGTATATAATGTACTCCAGGCTGTCAACTTATGTTATCAATTTTAATATAGATTACACCAATATCGTATACAAATATATCTATTTTATGATCCTGACCTGTTTACAGTATATCAAACCATGAACTTCACTGCTGTGCCTAATTGCACAAGGAGGACAACCCTCCAGTAAAAAGGGCTTAGATTAGATGGTTCTTATTTCTGTCCTTTTCCTTTGAGAATAAAAGATTATTTAGTTATCCTATGTTTTTTGAGTATATGCTTGCATGACAGACTAAAACAAAGAGAGAGAGTTTTTTTCCTCTTGTTGTTTCCCTACTTCAGCCTTTTTTTTCTTCTCAATATTTCCATAGTGGGTGGTTGGTTGATTTCCAATCCTGATGCTGTCTGTGCAGCAGGAACTTCCAATTATCCATACACAGGGAGTTTTTCTCTGCCTGCTCCACATTCTCATCATGGCTGTGAACACTATTCAGCTCTTCGAGGACACAGAGCCGTTCCATATCCTGCTTCGTACATGCAAAAAAATAATTATCCAGGCAAGTTCTTGTCATGTTTTGCTTTTAATTTGTTTATGGAAAGCAATCTGTAAGAAACTGGCACTATTGAAAGCTGGGTGGGCAAGGATGGGTGGGTGCTCTTAACCAATGTTTATCTACCTGAGTTTCAGGTACTGCACCAGCCTTGACCCCAAGGTAGAGGAAAGGAGTAGTGCTTGTCCATTGAGAGATCCTAATGGTTACTAGTAGTTTGTTCCACAGATGACTGAATGTGAAGCCCTTTATATGCAGTTGTGCCAAAGGGATAACCTAAGGATGCTTCTATTGTACCAGCCTCCTAGTTGCACAGTGGCATCTGCGCCCAAGCTTCTCATTTTGAGTTGGTGCTTGAGTCATCTAGGCTGATTGTACTAGGTGATTTTAATCTGCTGTTTCTGGGGGTGAGGGTGGAGGGGATTAGAGATGGCTTGGGATTTCATGGGCACCATGACAACCATGGGCTTATCACAAGTCAAGTCATTATAGGCTCAGGGGAAGGGCATATGCTAGATCTTGTCTATGATTTGAGCAGTTAAGAGATGATCTGATGGTGGAGGATATGAGAACTACTCCTTTGTCAGGGGCAGATCACTTTCTTGTGACCATGGGGGTGACTATCACCATTAATTTCTCCAGGGATGTAAGGCCAATTTGAACGGTCTATGCAAGATGTCTGACAATCTGTTTAGGGAATTTCCCAGTAAACTGAAAGATAGTTCTGTTGTAAATCTTGCCATCCTCTGAGGCATGGAGGCAAGGAAAGCACTGATAGGATCTTTCCTGTGCAGCCTCTCCTTCTGTGCCAGTCCTGGGGACTTCTTGGTTCTGTGAGGAGCTCTGGGAGAGGAAACATCAGAAGTGACGCTAGTAGAAGAGGAAGAGTGAATTTTATTGAATGTGGGTATACACAAATTTTGGGCCTATACCATGGAGGTAAAAGTAGGGAAATGGACTTACTTCTTTGGCCTTATTGAACCTGCAGAGTGATAGCTTGCAGCTTTTTTTTTTTAAATGACTTACTTTTAGGGAAGGATGGGCCACAAGAACACTTGGTGGGCTGTTGTGATATGTATGCCGAGCATTGTGCAGATAATTGTGCATATTTGCTTGGAATTAGAAGCCAATCGTTCAGATCCAAAGAGATGCTGAGGATGACATCTTGTGATGTTAAATGAGAATAATCTGAACCTAATGATCCTAAGGAAGTAGACAAAGTCCTTGATAAAATCAGTTCTGCTACCTGTGAGCTGGAACCCTGCCTCATCTGACCTGAACTACCAGGGAGAAGACAGGAGGCTGAGCCTAATGTCATTAATGCATCATTGTACAAAGAAAGATGCCAATGTTCTTGAAGAAGTGGTGCCTCCCCTTCTTAAGGAGCCAAGCTTGGATCTAGTAATACTGTATAGATATTGTCCAGCTTCCAATTTTCCCTTCTTACTGATATCTGATGACAGCTGAAACCAAGAGGGCTCTGGAAGAAAAAGAACCCTTTTCAGTCTGGCTTCCAATCCAGACATGGGATAAAAACCACATTCATCATTCTTGTCAACATCCAGTGGCAGACATTTGACAGGGGGAGTGTGACTGCAATAGTCCTGCTGAATCTTCCAGCAGCCCTTGAGACCATCAAACATGGTATCCTTCTGGACTGCCTGCAAGAGTGGGAATTGGGAAAATCATTCTGCAGTGATTTTACTCCTTCTGAGTGAGTGGTCTCAATCTGGATGTGGGAGGAAGGATTGGATCTGGATGGAGAAAAACAGGTTAGAACTCAACTCCAGGAAGACAAAGTGGCTGCTGATTCAGGAGCAGACTGCATCTGAGACCATACTAAGTTTTAAACAGAGTTGTGCTTTCCCAGAAAGAGATGGTTCAGAATCCATGAGTTTTCTTAGACTTTAGCTATGGCCAGGAGAGGCTGTAATGGTCCCAGCTTTGCCTCTTTTTGGAACAAGAGGCACTGGCAATAGTCACTCATGCCCCTTACCTTATGTTGGACTATTGCAATTGGCTGTAGATGGGACTGCCCAGAAGCTTCATTGACCTGTGTACTAATAGGAACTTCCCAATACTGTTGTGTTACACCAATACTGCAGGAACTACACTGGCTGCCAGTATGTTTCCAGGTGCAATTTGAAATATTGGAGATGATTATAATAGGTCATGAAGATTCTATAGATTCTATATGAGATGACTTACTCCAGATAGAATCTGCTTATTTGAGGAATGCTGGCAGAGTCTCTAGAAGGTGAGGGAGGAGGGGACCGAGAACCAAGCATTCTCTGCCAGGGCTCCCATCCAGTAAAATGCCCTCCCACCAATTAAGATCTCTGCCCTCACTCCTGACATTCGAAAAGCTTTTAAAAACTTGACTTTTTCAGAGAGCATTTGGTGACCAAAGAATTAGTTTTAGGATATGCCTGGGATAGACGACAGCATTTTTTGTGATTTGTGATTATTATAAACATTTGATACATTTTATCAAACATACATTTGGTTATTGTATTTGATGATTTATGTTTTTATGCTTTGATAAGATTTGAATGATTGAAATCATAAAGCATTAAACTAAATTAATTTTAAAAGCTATTTTTTTAAAAAATCTATACAACGCACAATATTTCAATATTTGGTATCCACATTACCAAATTACATCACATGAAAGGATTAGCAAGTGTGTCACAGTACAAAGATTTCTAAAGGGGTAAATCCATAATTATTCCATATGCCAGTTAATAAATACCCTATTTTTTTCTTTAAATAAGAACAAAGATATTGAATAACCACAAAAGGAAAATTATTTATGACTACATAGAATGCCCTTCTTTTCTATAATATTCCCCCTCACATCTGAGAAAGAAATAGTAGTGGATCTTGGTTGATCTTAAAAACACTAAGAAGGATTGGACTTGATTAGTACTTTGATGGGAAAGTACCACCAAGAAACACTAGGACTGTAAACTAAGCTGTAAAGTTAAACACACACAGAGAATAGAAACTATGTCTGTATTGTTGCCAAGAAAATTACCCTGGTGAGTTCATGATATCCCCAGGTGTCAAACCAGACTCCAAGGAGACTTCATTTTTAGGCAAAATGAGTCAGTGAGGTTCTGCTTGGAAAGATACCACACATTTCCTGGAAATGCATTTCTTAGCACTTCCCCAGGAGGCTTCCAGAAAGGCAGCTCTTAATGCCAGAAAACAAAAGAATTGGGCAGTTGTTTTTTTTTCTTTGACAGATTATTATGATTTTTTGGTGAAAAAATAAAAAAGCAGTGGAAAAACACAAGGCAAGGTTTGATAACATCAGGAACCTCATAAAAGTATACGAAGAGGGAAAGGCAGAATAGGATGATGAACTTGATGCAAGCAAAGAATGTTCACTTGAACAAAGCTATAATTCCTTCCTCTCAAGAAATACTTGCATATGATTGCAGAACAGGAACATAGTAGTCCAACAGCCTTGTCCCAGTGATGCCCCACTTTAAAGCTGCCTTCTTGTGTCCAGTGAGAGGTAAGGATATAGAATAAATCAGGAACTGGCAATGCACAGGCTGAGGCACCTTGGCACATACAACATTCCAAAATGCCACTCACAGGACCACATTAAATAGAATTACAATTTCATCAAAAATCAAAATATCTGAAACCTTGGTTGTTCATTATTCTTGTATGAAATGTCATAGGTGAAATTTCTGATATCTCACAAGATCCTGGGTGTGTTAATGTTTTGTTTTATTGATTTTATTATGGGCCCCAAACCATTTCTGCAGGATAGTTCAGCAACCACTAAAAAGATTACTGTCATGTTCTCAGCTAAGCTGAAAAAACAAACTGTGCCTCGTGAACATATCAAGGAGAGGAAAACCAAATGAATAAATAAAGGTTGTCCATTCAGCCTAAGGTTCTGCCTTTTCCTATTTTTTTTTTAAATACACCCATCCTGATTTGGTAATGTAAACATCATCTTGCTATGGCTCTGAATTCTTTGTGTTTCCTATTCTAAAGTGAATTTGACAGAAAATGCCAACAGTGATTTCCAAGTGTCCCCAGGCCATGAAGGCTGGCCTACAGGACCCTCCAGTCACCATAACAACCTGCTCCCAGTGCCACACAATAGTGGTACTACCACTCCAGGCCCTAGGTAAGCAAGCATCTCTTCAGTGTGTATGTTGTCTCAGCAGCAATACCTCAGCAGCCTCAGCAGCCCTCTTCGTGTCTAATGAAGAAGAAAAATAGGTCAGATTTTACTATACATGGAACACACTATAGAAATTACATAAATAAACAAACACTGCCTTCCCTCCTTCAACAGAGAATTAAAATAAAACTGTTATTTTAACCAAACTTCCTATATGACAAGAGGCAGTTTTAATTAAAAAGAATAATTATATTTTGCTTACAAATATCAAACAAATATTTCTGTTTTTAAGACTCATTATTCTCTGAAGGTGATAATACAATTAAAAACTTGGTCTGGGCTCAAAAGCAAAGCAGGGTCTGACCTGGTTAGTACTTGAATGGGAAACCACAAGAATATAGAAGGGCTGTAGGCTAGCCTGGGAAATTGGGAAGAAAAAACATTGTGGAAGAAGATGATGGCCAAATACTTCCATACTGTTGCCAAGATTACTGTCCATGAAGTCACCAGGAGTTGAGCTTGATTCAAAAGACACTTTAATTACCGCAAGAAGCATTTTACTGAAAGGACTGATTTATCATAAAGCTGTAATGAAAATTGTCAGTTCAGTTGCACCATCTGTTCTCGAGTCACAACAAGGGGAGGGTTTTGGTGAAGTTCTCAGATAATAAGAGATGTGGATTAAACAAAACACACAAGCTGAAGTTTTAAATGCTATGTTCCTTTATACCAAGTGCAGACAACCATGATTAAGGGCTTCATGTGGCCCCTAAAACTCCTTTTTGTAAAACTCTTTTCTCTTGAACCTCAAAGCTTCACTAAATTGTTTCACTAAAATAGAGATTATAGGCTGGAGCACCTAAAGCTCTCCCCAACCTCACCCTCAGTTAGAAAGAAATATGAAAAGGGGGTGTTATATAAAATCATGATTCCAGAGCCCCACTTCTCTGCAACCCTGGCAACTAAAAATAATGCAATGAATAAAGAAATACAGTTCCCAACTACAAAATGATTGTCTGCCCCTGTTGTACATCAAGCAATGATAAGTGCTGTTGCAAATTTCAGTCGTTGTGTTTTTTCATGTTATTTGGTTGCAGTCACTACCCTTGCCTTTGGACTGTCAGCAACAATGCGGTCAATGTTGCCAACCTGGCAAGTGATGTCAGCAGCAGCTCTCCATTCCTGCGAAGCAGCATTGTATTGCCTGCCCCATCCTCATCTGGGTTATCAGGCACAGTTGCCAGCAGCATGGAAGCACAGCTGGAACCTGCTTTCTCCAGATTAACTGATTCGACTTGGACACCTGTAACCTCTCGTTCCTTCTAGTGGGCTGTGGGAAGGAGCACACGATCACCCAGCAACAGAACTGAAGGCTGCCATAGCATAGGAAAAAGCCACATCTAATGAGAAATTCAGGTTTTGCACAACTTTAAAATCTGGTTTTTGATAATGAAGGAATTAATCAAGTATTATAACATGATTCCTCACTCCCCAGAAAAGTGCATAGTAGTAGATAAAGCAAACATGAATGGGTAAACTTTTCAAGTTCATTTCCCCCCTTATAATTCTGTACAGAAAGTTATGTGCTTTGTAGCACAACATGTTGCTTTGAGATTAGAGTGGCAAAAGATCATCTCTGTGCAAGACTCATAGATGAAATTGGAGAACCAGCTGAGGCTGGTAACCTTATTTGTTACAGCAGATATACTAAGAGTAACCAAAGAGAAGCAAGTACAGCCATCTCCTTGATTCTGACCCAGTCACTTATGTCTCTACATACTTTTGACCTGCTCCCCCTACTTTTCTAGGAGCGAAGTCTCTATCCAGATTCCAAAAGACAAGAACCTCAATCCCCAAAAGGTTGCATGTTCTGCACCCTTTCAATTGGTCATGTCAAAGAAAAAGAGGGAGAAAGAGGGAAAACACAGGGCTGCTATTGATTTCAATTTATTGCAGAATGCAACAATTCTTAATTGGGTAATTGCTCAGGACAGAGAAGATACTTTATCTCAGTTGTTTTCTTGAATCTTCATAAAAGGAAAATAACTAGCTTTCTTCAGAATGCGGATGGTAAATTATAAGAGTATCCAAGGTGGTAACAATATTTTTCTTTGAACTAACTCATTGGTGAAAATCAACCCAACCCATCTTCATCTTTGTATTGCCTTTCTGTTGTAGACTGTCAATCCTTTA